TTAGTAAGGTACTGCCTTTCCATTAGGCACTTTCAGCTTTATTTGTCAAGAGATAGTTTACTCCCTTGGCTATTTATTTTAAGTGATTTGGGAGCTTAAATTGAAGAAACTAGATAGAGAGATGAGAAGAGGAAGAGAAAATAAACATCAACTAAAATCAAAACACACACACAACGTATCTGCTGGCAGGAACTCAGATCAAGTATTACAAGAGAATTTACGTGAAACTCACACATGACCACTTTGCCAAAAAGCCTGAGTGTTCACAAGATTCTCTTCTTACCTTTATTGCAGTCTGACTGCAAGTAACCAAACCATATTCACTTCTTTCATTTGCACCGCAAACCCAAATAAATCTAGTTAGTCTCAGGAATTCTCTCCAATGACCCGCAGGCAGAGCAGAATATGACGCTGTCCCTGGGTTTATGAACCCACGCCCCTCTAGGCATGACAACGGAATGCATTCCAGCGAGGTTCTTCAGGAATCTGTGAACACATTTCCCGCAGAGCAGAGAGGTGGTGGTGTCTGCATGAGATGGCAATGTGGGTGGTCTGGAACCTCACGAAGAAGCAAGTGATTCACTCTCAGGTAGGGGTCTGCATAGTCCACAAGCAGGAATGCGCACACCCTGGTTAATCTACAGACCCTGTTTGCCCATTTATTCTCTCTCTGCCACCTGAGGGGTGGGGCTTCTCTTGCCCTCAGTGAGTACTGGTAAGGATGCTACCAGGATGCAGTGTTCCCTGGTGATTAGAGAAGAAATGATGGAGCAAAGGGACTGCTGTACATTGAGTCTGACCCAGGAGTTCAGCCTCCACAATGCTCATACATTCATTTGTTCCCTGAAGATATTTGAAACACTCACATAATGTCTGTACCCCAGAGGGGCAGGCGCTGGAGCAGTGTAGACCAACTGTAGTGACTCCACTTCCCCTCTTCAATGATCTAGTTGTTAAGTTTGATCTACATGTATTATCTTTCAGTTAATTTTCTGACTGAAAGCACTGTATAAGCACCATATCACCCAGCTTCAGTATATGCTCTCTGATCACCTCTGACAGGACTCCTAGTCAGTCATGTTGAATCCAAAAAGCAATTTATTTGATTTTTAGATACATCTCTTTGCTTTTTTGTAGTTTATGTAGGCAGTATAATACACATCCCTAGCGTTTTAGTACAAATAAATAACCCATCATGTCATATAACATGCAAGAGTACAATGAATAGATTCATTTACCTCCTCTCTTATTCTGTAATTGTCATACACTATATTAACACTTTGTAATCTACAAAATATAATATTTCTTGCTATGAAATGAATGCATGAATTTTAAAGACACTCAAAGGAAAAGGAGTCTTTTACATTTAACCATATTTATCATTTATGGTGCATTCTTTCTTTCCTAAGAAAGCTAGACATTTGCCTATTCTTTCGATGTTTATATTGAATTTTCAATATTGAATAATTTCTATTGATCCATAAAGTTTAAGTTCTTTTTTCTGTAAATGCAAAATTCCATCCAGTGAATTTTTATTTTAGATGGTTTTTTTAATTTCAAGTTTTATAGTTTCTTATTGATGTTTTCCATTTTTTATTATTTATTAGAGCAGTTTCCTTCATGTCCTTGAGCATAGTTACAATAGTTGATTTAAAAACCTCATCAGCTATAGTCATATCTCAAAGATACCATAGGTTCAGTTCCAGTCACGGAAATAAATTATCATAATAAAGTGACTTAATGAATTTTTTCAGGTACATAAAAATTATATTTATACTATATTGCAGTCTATTAAATGGCAACAGCATAATATCTAAAATGTACATATTTTAACTTAAAAATATTTTTTGTTAGAGATGCTAACAATCAGCTGAGTCTTCAGTTAAGCTATAACTGTTTTGTTCACAGAATGTTTCAGCTTGATGTTTACTGTTGCTGACTAACTAGCCTGGTAGTTGCTGAAGGTTAGAGTGGTTATGGAATCTTATTAAAATAAGACAATGAAGTTTTGGCGAACTGAGTCCTTTTATGAAAGAGTCCCCTGAGGAATGCTATTTTACCACAGAAGATATGACTGAATTATTATGAATTGCTCAATTGCTGTGAGCTCATGATAAAACTTTTAAAGAGTCACTTTTCATGAATAGTCAAATAAGCTGGGTTTTTTGGGATGGACTATATTCCTGGGAATTTGCTATGATCATTGCTGAAATGATAACAATAGATTTTAAATAGTATTTAAACTTAGTTGATAAAGTAGCGGTAAAATTTGAGAGCATAAGTTCCAGTTCTTAAGTAAGAACTTGGAATCCTCAAATCATCTAAAAGGGTTAGAATCAACTTCCTCTAAACTATTTTGATACTTTGATTTCCTTTCTAAAATCATGACTCTTCTGACATAGAATGGTGAGTTCTTTGCAGGATTTCAATTTAATTTGCAACTGATCCATCAATTTGCTATAGTTTCTACATCAGCACCTGCTGCTTCACCTTGTTGTTTTATGTTAATAAAAAAGGTTTAAAGTTCATGAACCAGCCTCTGCTAGCTTCAAACTTTTCTGTAGTTTCCTCACATTTCTCAGCCAGTCTTCACTTCCCTGGCACTCCTCCAGATTAGGCTTTGGCTTAAGTGAATGTTGTAGCGGATTTGATTTTCTTTCCAGACCAATAAAACTTTCTCCGTATCGACAAAAAGCTATTTTACCTTATAATTTGTATGCTCACTGGAGTAGAACTTTTAGCTTCTTTTTTCCCTTTACATTCACAATTGGATAATTGCTTAGTACAAGAGACTTACCTTTCAACCTATCTTGGCTTTTGACAGCCTTTCTCATTAAACTTAATCACTTCTAGCTTTTGATTTAAAATAGAGATACATGACTCCTCCTTTCACTTAAATTTTTTAAGTTAATTGTGGGAATATTAACTGGCTTAATTTCAATATTATTATAGGGTCTCAGAAAATAGGAAGGTGTAAGGACAGAAAGAGAGAAGAGGAATGGTTGGTTGGTAGAGTAGCCAGAACACATACTTAAAATATATTGATTAAGCTCATCATCTTATTGGAGCATGGTTCGTGGGGCCCCAAAACAACTACCATAGTAATATCAAAGATCAGTAATTATAGCTCACCGGAACAGGTAAGATTACAATAGTAAAGTTTTTTTGTTTTGTTTTTGCTTTTTTGTTTGGGTTCCCCCCCCCCCCCCCCGGGATTGAACTCACAACTTTGTGTTTGCCAAGCAGGCACTTTATGCCACTGAGCTAAATACCCAGCAGAATAGTAAAGTTTTTAAAATATAATGAGAATTATCAAACTATGATGCAGATCTTCTATTTACTGAAGGGAGTACATGCTGTGAAAAAAATGGTATAGATAGATTTGTTTGACACAGGGTTGTCACAATCTTCTAAAATATGCTATATCTGAGAAGCACAATAAAGCAAAGAGAAATAAAACAAGTTATGCCTTTCCATATGTCACATGAGACAACTTGAGGTTGGTTTCTATTGGCTGTCTATTTTTCTGAGTAAAGGCCACACATTCTATTTCTTTGCAAGTCAAGTAATTTTGGATGGTATACTGAACACTGTAGATATTGTTACAAAGACTGGATTCTGCTATGTTCCTTCAAATGTACTGATTTTCTATTTTGTTTTGTTTTGTCTTAACAAAGAGTTAATCTGACCAAATTCAAAACCTGTAAAAGACTCTCCTTTGGGTATGTATCAACTAAAATATCAACTGTTTTAGCTGTAGGTGAGTTGCTTAGATAAGAGGTAAGCCAAGGGGCTGGGGATTTAGCTCAGCGGCATAAGCACCTGCCTTGCAAGCAGGCAGTTGTGAGTTCGATCCCTGGTACCGATAAAAATGAAAAAGACAAAAAACAAAAAGAGGTAAGCCAAGGATTTAGGTTTGAGCCTTCCTTCTATCTTCTGTGGACATTACTTCATTTCTCAGAGGTCGGGGCTGCCTTAATCTCTATCCTCTAGTCTTTAGGCCAAAATGAATACATATTTCTACCAGACTTTTTGCTTCTCTATATGGTGTAAACTATATCCTAACTTTAGTCCAATAGCCTTTAAAAACTAAAAGAAGGAACCCACCAAATTCCATGTTCATTTTCAATATTTACCATGATTTTCATAGACTAATTTTTAGAGCAGTCTTTGGTTCATAGAAAAACTAAGCAGGAAGTAGAGAATTTCTATATACCTCCTGCTCTTACATATGTACAGTATCTCCTGTTATTGACATTATGCACTAGAATTATGCATTTGGTCCAATCCGTAAACCAACACTGATACATTATTATTACTCAAAATTCATATTTATATGAAGGTTCACTATTGGTCTTGCATATTCTGAATTCTGATACATACATAATGAAATATAGCCCCTTTATAGTGTCACACAGAATAGTTTTACTGTTGTCCCAAATCCTCTGTGTTTCACCTATCTTTCCTTGCCCCTAAGGTTTGACAACAGTATTTTTTTTAACCAATGTTGTATAGTTTTGCTTTTTCCAGAATGTTTTGTAGTTGCAATAATACAATATGTAACCTTTTCAGTTTGGCATCCTTCGTTTAGTAATATGTCCTCTCAAGTTCTTACATTCCTTCCCTTGTAAACTTGGTTTAGGCCATTCTCCACTGTTTTTAAGGAATTATTTTGTCCAGAAATTATTATCTGTGGGAAAGTTGATCTGACATAAACTGCACAGTCATTAAAGAAGAAAAATTTTAAATACAAATGAATACATTTAACACAAATAACCAGACTCTAATTAACAAATCAAAATAGACGTATCAGTAGTTTATCTTAGATTATCCTGTAATTATTAAATTTCAGAATGGGAGAGACCATAATGATTATCCACTGTACAACAGGCTTTAAAGGCGAGTCGTAATACCTATCACATATAGTAATGAGATATCATTATTTCATTACTCGTGCTGTACTATTTTCAACAATTATGTTCTAAATATATATAACAAACCTGTCAAGGCTGCTTCACGTATAGATTTAATTTGTAGAAAAACTTCTCCTTTCAGTGAAGTCCAGTCCTGAAAATTATTATATATTTCATTTTTAATAGTGGTTAGCTCCTTTTTAATAAAAGTAAGCAATGAAAGAGTCTTATTCCAGAAATAGTTGAACTCCGACAATCTTTGACTACAAAATAATAAAGTAAAACATTAGAATTTTTAAAAAATAGCATAATAAATATTTCTTCAAAATGATTTTAGAAGGATCATATAATCTACTATCTAAATGGAGACAATTTTGAAAGTAAAAGGTATTATTCATAATATGCTGAGGCAACATTTAAACCAGAAATAACTCCAATAGAATGAACTATATGGTCATGTCCACTCTTTTCCATTTTTAACTGTAAAGAAATTTATACACATTTATTCTATTAAGTTTTTTATTAATTCAATAGCAAAATGTAGAGAAGAAAGTTTGGTCAGAACAATTTGGTAAGAGCCTAAATGAGAATGTCAGATCATGTGTGACAGCATCCTTCCACTGCTTTTATCACATGCCACAATTCAAAATAATCACATATTTTTGCCCTCTCAGAGATTTGTTACTCCAGACACTCTATTAATTTCATTAATAATCAAGCCTGATGCATACATAGATTTGGAAGTTATTTGCAAAAAGGTGATGACTGAAGCCATGGGAATGTGTTATTTGGCCAGTATTTATGCCCTTTAGTATACTAAGATCTTTGGTACAGAAACTATATCTGTCTTGCTCATCATAATCTCCTTCCTTAGCATCTAGAACAGGACCCATGATACTGTACGTGCTTAATAAATATTGACCAATGAAGGAAGGAAATGAGAAATATTCAGTTGGAGGAATGGAGAAGTGAGAAGTGCTCATGACAACACACTGGACAATACTGATATTTAAGAATGTCTCAAAATTTCTCAAAAGGAGGACTAAGCAGTGAGTTAGGAAGAAAAAGTATCACAAAAAGCAGAAGATTTCAAGAAGAAATAATGGTCTATGTTCAAAGCCTCAGATAAAGACTAAAGAAAGGTCTTGTTAATCTGGTTTTAAGGAGGCCTTTGATGACCTCAAAGAAAGGCATCAGGTACCAGAGGACTAAGCAGTGAAGCAAAAGTAAGAAACAGTCACCGTGAGCCACTGCCCATCAAGATTCCTGACTGAAGAGGCAATGATGGAGTGTAGGATGGTACATGAGATGAGATTCACCAAGTGTGTACACAGTGAAGAGGGAAAGAGAATGAGTGTAGTCACAGAGGCAAAAAACACAGATGTGCAAAGCCTGAGAAAAGCCAAACAGAAAACAGAGGTTGAAAGATTCACCTTTTCCGTGAGTGATTCTGCGAAAGTAAGGTTGGCCTGGGTGATCAGAAGCTGCAGGTGATAATGATTTAATCAGCATGCAGGTGATAATGATTTAATCAGCATGCACTGCTAAGAAGGATGCTGATTTCAGAAAGCAGAGAAAGATTACAAACCAGGAGTCAAATGTGAGCATGGGAAGCCTGAATGTGGAGTCAGGAACTGATGTGGCAGAGAGACAAGGACCAAGAAGCAAGTTAAGATAAGGGACCTATCCTGAGGTGCTGTAGGGCAGCTGTTGAGATCAAGCTGCATCCAGGGAAGTCAGAGCCTAAGAGAACATTTAACAGCAGGAAAAATGTGGATATAGATGCCTCTGTGAGGATGAGGGTGAGGAACAAAAAATCTGAATCGATCAACTAAAAGCAGATCCCAGTTTTATGGAGCCTCAGTCTATATAATTTCTTGAAAAGCACAAAAGTGGTAACAATAAAACTAGGTTTAAAGGTGTGTAAAATTGTCTATAGAATGAGAAAAAACACTACAAGTAAAACTTTAACAGTTGATAGCTTTCACTAGTATCACAAAATACAGGAAAATACTTTTTGAACAGTTCTACAATTTTTTTTGCCTACAATTTTTGCCTTCATGCTCCACAATCTTTTTATACAAATGAAGAATCATGTTAGAATTTTACATGTTAAGAGGATATAGAAATTGTACAGCCTTTCACTTAGCATGCTTTTAGTAGAAAGACCTCTGGCTTTGTAGCTCATTATTAGTAATGTGACATAAATATTCAGTGTTGTCAAAGCTGAAGAAAATCCCTACCAAATGTTTTATGTGTAAGAATTCTGGCATCTCTAAAATTCTTAAATGTTCCTGGAAATAATGAAACTCATGAACCAGTTTATCCTAGATGTCATCCTTGAAGTAGTATATTACATTGTGTATGTGTGCTGATGGAAACAATCTAGGAGCACTGTACCGCCGAATCACATCTCCAGGCCTTTTTATTTTTTACTTTTTTTTTTTTTTTAATTTTGAGACAGTCTCACTAATTGCACAGGCTGGCCTCAAAATCTGATCCTCCTTCAGTAGATGGGATTATAGATATACAACACCACTCCCTGCCTGTTATGACTTTTATATTTAGTAATTGTAGTAATTTTTGTCTTCAGGAGGAAACAATTTCTCCAGTGTATAAGAATAACCACTAGTCACTGAATTATCAAATAATTCAAGAACTTTCATTGAAAATTTATCATTTTAGTTATTTGATACAATCTGAACATTATTGCTATGATTTGCTTTTTATGACAGAATCATTTCTATTGCTAACACTGCTCATGCTTACTTTTATTTCAGTAATTTTTTAAAGATTCATACACATCCAAGTTTTTAGTCTACAATTTTTTACTTGTTTTATTGAAACTGTTCTAAAATGTCTTTCCAACTGGCAATTATAATGATGGATTCTCCAGTCAACTTTCCCTTAGAGAGATCCCCCAAGCCTGTAATTACCCTAGAGGCATAGTGACATCATAAGGGGGACAGAGAGGAAACTGGAATGGAAAGATAATTTTTAAACAATTAAAACCAAACCATTTACTTTTACCAGTGGCCCTCCCAGAACTCTGGAATGAAGTCTCCAGTGGGAGGACCTGAAACTTAAGCGTTTAATTCATAGTAAATCTGTCTGACTCGGTAACCTTAACTTCTCTGTAATGTGAGGCAAGCCACACAGCTGCTATGAGATGAGTAGCACTGATGAGCCTAAACAGAACAGAGAGGAATTCTCACAGAGAATCTATTGTTAACTGCCTGGAAGTAGATATCAAGACTGAGTGTTTTAAGATAAATATAATTAAGCAAGTAGAGGTAAAAGGTCTTAGCATATTACTGAGCTCTATGTAGAAACATCCTCCTATATAGAAAAATGTAAGCAAGAAGAGAAACCATGCCTTCCCATGAAGCAAGCTCCACCATACTGATGGGTAAGAACTTCAACCAGAAGAAAAACTATAGCTTCCCATGAAACAAGCTGTGCTATGCTTAGTGGTAAGAGCCTCAGCCAGAAGAGAAACCACGCCTTCCCGTGAAATAAGCTCCACCATGCTGATCTGTAAGAGGCTCAACCAGAAGCGAAACCATGACTTTCGATAAGCCAGCCGTGTGCAGGCTGAAAAATCAGAAAAGCATTGCCCGCACCCACCCCCTGCTGATTCAGAGGTCTCAGGGTGAGAAGATAGCAACTAGGGGAAAGGGAACAGCTTGATGCTTATGTTGTTTGGTTGACTGCAGACCTGGGGCTAGGGGTCTGAGCATCTACTTGGAGGATGGCAGTGTGTGTTGTGCCAACTGTGGGGGTCTTGTTTTTGCAATCCAATGCTTTGTTCCATTTTACTATTTTGTTCTATCCCTGCATCTGGTAAACTGAGCAACCATTTTGAAGATAACAATGTACAGTATTATTCTCAGTGCTTTGTTTTGTTCCAATTTATTGTTTTGTTTTATTCAATGTTATGTTTTAATTGGTTTTAATTCTGTTTTGTTTTGTTTGATTTTGCTATGTCTGATAGTACAGACAACTATTGTGAAGATAGCAAGATATGGTAGCCATTGTTGATTTCCTACTGTCCTGTTTTGAAGTTCTGTGCTACTTTCACTGCTGTGTTTTGATTGGCTTCATTCTGTTTTGTTTTGTTGGATTCTATTCTTTTTAAAATGAAATTTAAAAAAGAAAAAAAATACAAACAACATGAAAACAAATACTAAAACAAGTTTACTAAGGTTACAGAATAAAAGATCCACGTGAAAAAATAAATTTTATTATTAATAATCAATTCCAAAAAATAAAATTAAAAAAGCTTCATTCATAAGCAAAGAGAATAAATCATTTACAAGTAAATTTAATAAAAGAAGTACAAGAAAGCAAAATAAAACATTTTCAAGAGAACTAAAGATCTCTTGAAAGGCTCAACCATGAAAATGTATTAAAATATTCAGTATTTAAAGGTGGTAAATCTCCCCAAAGTGATTAGAACTGCAGTAATATATCTATCAAAATTCTAGTGGTTTATTTTGCAAAAATTGACAAAATGATCCTAAAATACATATGGAAATGCAAGGAACCCAGAATAACCAAAATTAACTTCAAAACAGAGAAAAAGAAATCAGGAGGGCTCAAATTTCTTGATTTCAAAACTTACTGAAAACAATAGTATTCAAAAGAGTGTGGTTAAGAAAACATATAGATTAATGGAATAGAACAGAGTATATATAATTTTTCTATTCATGGTAAATTGACTCTAGATAAAGATCTAAAGTAATGGATAAAATAGCTAGATAAATTGAATGTTCATATTTAAAAAGATGAATATAAATTCTTACCTTATACACGAAAACTAAATTAAATGACTCATAGACCTAAATGTAAGAACTATAATAAAAAAAAAACTTAAAATTTAGAAGAAACTATAGAAAAATATCTTTGTGACCTCAAGACTTAGGTAGTTCTTAAATATACCACCAAAAGTACAAACCATAAAAAAAGATAAAATATTTATATTTCATCAAAAATAACAATTTCTGTCTTCAAAACACACCACTAAGAAAATGAACAGCTTAGGTGAAAATACTTGTAAATCATACTTCATATAGATGACTTTTACCCATAATATATGAAAACTCTAAAAAATCCTATCAGAAAAAAACTTAATTCAAAAATGAGCAAAAGCTTTGAATAGATAATTCATGAAATATATACAAATGGTTAATAAGCATATGAAACAATGATAAGCATCATTAGTAATTCTGAAAACAATTCAAAGCCACAGAGATAATATTTCACACCCACTAGAAAGGATATAATCTAAAAAAAAAAAAAAAAAAAAAGAAAGACAATAATAAGTGTTTATGAGAATCTGGAAAAACTAGAATCCTTTTTCCTGGTGGGAATATAAAATTGTATAGCCACTTCTGAAAATAGTTTGGCAATTTTTTAAAAACTAAATATAAATTAACCACATGATCCAGTAATTCCATACTTTGGTATCTAATCCAAAGGAATGAAAACACATCATACATCCCCCACGAAAATCTTGTGATTGTTTACATTAGCATTATTCAAAAGCATCACCATGTTGAAAGCAATCCAAATGTCTATCCATGAGTAAGGTGGTAAACAAATGTGGTATATACATACAATGAAACATTATCTAGCAATAAAAATGGATGAATTGTTGATAAATGCCACAACACAGATAAACCTCAAAAACATTATTAGTGAAAGAATTCAGATTCAAGACCACATATTATATGATTCTATATATCTGAAATATTTAGCAAAATATAATTCTATTGAAACACAAAGAAGTTTCATGGTTATATAGGATGGGGGTACAAACAGGCTGACAAATGACAAGAGTCTTTTGGGATATGACTTAAATGTCACAACTACTAGCACAACTCTGTAGGCTTATTAGAATCATTAAGTTGTTACTTAACAGAGATTGATTTTATGGTATGTAAATTATATCTCAATAAAGCTGTTATTTATTTATTTAGGTCTCACAACCTCATGCTTCCCAGGCAGGCGCTCAAACCACTGAGCTAAATCCCAGGCACTAAAACTGTTTTTAGTATATGTGCTGCCAGAGTGAGCACAATAAAGATGTTTTTTAAAAAGATGTGATGTGATGAACAAAAAGATCAAAGTTAGAAAACAAAATAAATATAGAAGATGTAGGAAAAAGAGGAAAAAATTACTGGGACCCTCGGTGAAGCTAAAGCAATAAAGTGAAAGAAAACTAAGAGGAAAGATTTTTAAAGTTAGTTTTGAACATATCAGAAATAAAATGGTCACCATGCCTGCCAAGTCTAAGTACTTTATATTTCAAAAATCTTATGAAGGTTTCAAAATAGAAGTCCTCTAAAAGTGAACAATGTCAGAATAGTTTGAATTCAACCTAATTTAGAATTGGGTCTATACTATTTTATATGAAGTACAGAATACTTATCTCCCATATTGATTTTTAGTATCTATTTTATAGACCTTCTACAGTTAATTTTCATTTTCAAAGGAAAATGTGTTCTGATTAGTGCATGTGTTAAACCAGATAAAGCACATTGCACATACTCCCAATCAGTCTCATGCTAAAGAAATGTTGTAAATTATATCAGGAAAAACAGGGTGTGAAGAACACTTTGATGGAGGCTAAGTGATTAAGCCCAAATGTAATTAAACAAATGAGAAAAATCTAAAGAGAGCAACATGACCCAAAATCAGAGATCTTTGATCTACTCAAAGTTCTTTTTGGGTTCAGTTTTAAAAATAACATTTGAGAAAGATGCTCAGGCTTCTTTCCTTTACCAGTTTAAGAAAGATTACAGCTCCTTTTCTTAAAAACTAAATATAAATTTATAAATATATAAATATATAAAGGGCTCATTAAGTTTCATATTCTGATAGATACTTTTAAATAATCAATAAACTAGCTTAAGTCAGCTTTTAGTAATACAGAAGTCACTGAATCCTATAGCCTTTGATTGGATTTTATTTTTACCAATACACATTTTCCTAAATATCTACCAGTAAAAGGATAAATAAAATCAACAACTATTTTCATTCTTCATGGCACACTTCAATTTGTACTAAATGTTTACTTAGTTACTCCAGAGTTGTTTTTAGCATGTACTATTTCTTTACATATCAAATTTCAAGCTCCTAATTTGTGACTTTTTAGCTAAAAAAATGAACAAAAATCACAGATCTATGGAAAATGAGAATAAAAGTAAACAGTTCAAAAGTATAGCGCCAGGCTGAGAACACAGCTCAGTAGCAGGATGCATGCCTAAGTATATGCAAGGCATTGGGTTCAATCCCTTGCACCATAAGTAAATGGATAAATATTAATATATAAATGTGTAATTCAAAATTAAAATACAGAAAAATGTCTAAATATATATATGCCTAAATTTCTTCAAGAATTTGAAACACTGCAAATAACATGCAAAAATACAAATAATGACGATCAATGTATCACTTCCATAATATCCTGAAGCAACACCATTTATGTGTGATCTACTCCTGGTTTAACTTCAAAAATGTAGTCAATCTCACATTCATGAGCATACTGGTTGATAAAACAGCTGGGACTTCTCTTAATGGATCTAAACCAAAGCTATTAGAGGAGCCAAGAACTCAGGGTCCTGACTAAAACAGGAGAGTTGGGGCAACATAGACAGTATCAGCCTGCTGGTTCACTACCGGGTTCCCAGAAAAGGGCCAGAAGGATTTGTTTGAGGTTTTACTTACTTGTTTATTCATTTAAAATCACTTAGCATCAGTTACATGTGAGGCATTTATGAAAGGAAGATGCCCTGTAGATTATCACTAGAAAATGTATAAAAATTTCATTAGCCTAGAGAATTTTTTGGTCTCTTTAACTTATTTTATTTTAAAGAGAATAAAACCAGGCAAAATAAAACAGAACAAAGCAAATCAAAACACACCAGTGTGACACAGGATTTCAAAATGATACAAAATCAACAATGGTTACTATGATACCTCTTGTCTTCAAAATAGCTGCAGATACCTTCAGACAGTAAAAATGACGCAAAACACAAGAGTAAAACCAAAATAACAAAGGACTTGAATACAAGATAATATTAAATCCAAAATGGCTACCATAATAGATCTATCTTTAAAATAGCTGCCCATGCCATTGGATATAACAAAATCAAATAAAACAAAATGGAATAAAACCAACCCAACAAAACAATGAAAATGATACAGGACTTCCATACAAGATAATAAGGAATTAATAATGGCTACCATCTTCAGAAGGAGATCCCCCATAGAAGCCTAGAGAATTTTTTTAACAGAATGCTTCTGTTAAAATAATTTGATTAAAAACAAAACAACCATAATATTTAAAATAATCAGTATACTTTTTGTTATCCAGGACCTGTGTCATTGCCATGTTGATTTTAATTTATTTCCCTTTTCTAAGAGCTAAAAGTTCTTCAAATTCACAAGGAATCATTTTTTTCTTATAAACATCCTCAATATATCAATGTATTTTGAAAAAAATGTACTCCCTAGTTTCTTTAGAGCATGGGATTTTATCTTTATTTGTTACCACCAAAGATGACATAAAAGCAGAATTAACACCATTTATGTTGGGAAATTTCTAAATTTAGGGAGATTATTATCATTAGAACGTTCCCCTATTCTGTTATTTCTGTAATTTTCATTGAGCTCTGGACATCCAATATGACTAGAAATGCTGATCATGAGAAAAATAGACTAGCTACTGTGTTTTAATTTTAAATGCTACTATAAAATAAGGGCAAAACAATGTGTTAACAGAACAAGACATTTGCATAATTTAAATTTTATCAGTAAAACTATCAGTTGATATAATGTTCATAAAAGTGATTTCCATTTTCTCAATCAGATACAGAAACTATATTACTCAAATGTGTTTGAATGTTTATAAAGTTAGTATTCAATGTATCTTTTCAATCTTTATGATTTTTCCATTTCTAAGGGTAATCTCACTTGAAGATTTGTGATTTTCTGTGTTTAATTTTCAACTCATTGCAAACAACTCAGCTCTTTCTGTACTCTCTAAAACTCATTTTCTTTTTTTCTTTTTTTTGCAGGGGGAATTCCATTTCTTCTTTTTTTAAAAAAATATTTTATTTAAAAGGAAAAAAAAAGCAGAACAAAACAAAACAGTGTAAGGGTACAAGTAATTCAGAACTACAGAAAAGCAAAAAACAAAAAACAGTATGCTATCACCAGTTAATAGATTACTCGCTATCATCTTAGAAACGGTTAAAACTCATTTTCTTGATTTTTTAACTGCATGCTTACATTTGGAATTCTAAAAATATAAACAAATGACATCCACTATAAGCTTCACTAATGAATAGTATTTTTAAATTAAATAAGAATAATATTAACAGAAATAAATAGAAGAAAACTATGCATCTTTATATGTGCTAATATGAATGTATAAAAAATATGAAGAGAAACACCAAAAATAGCTATTATATCTAGGGAGTAGAATGGAAGGTATATGCAGGAAAAAAGCTAAATAGTACTGAAGCAAAGTGGAATTTTTTTCTATAGTCTTTTTATTGCTTGAATTCTTATAATGAGGATGTATATGTAAATTAAACATAAATGAATATGAATATAATTTAATTAAAGATACATATAATCTAAAACGTCAAATAGTACTGAAAGTTACAATAAATAGCAATCATTTCCCTTTACGTCAGTCTGTACTGCCAAAGGCAACAACATTCCATTTTCTCTTATTTCTTCTACTATTTATCTCCATATTACTAACTAGTTTATACTTCTAGTATTTAATATTTCATTTTAAATGTTATCTAGTGAGTTACTAATCAGTGAAGATCTGATTCTGTTACGTAGACCTGAGGTTTGTGTATGATCACCCACATACTATTTCATATAAAACAAATACATTAGTAATCAGTCTGATGCTGATTTAACAGTTTTATAATGTTTATAATGTTATCGGGACCCTCCCAACTCTCTGCCCTACCATTTTTGGTGTGTGCACTTTATTCCCACAGGGATGATGTTGGCAGAAGCTCCAATCATTACAATCCCATTCCCGATGACAGCAAAAGCAGAATAGCCTATTTCCTTCCTTTTAATTCAGTCTTCATGAAGTACCGCTAAATAATTCTGCATTTTGACATGTGACTAAACCTAGCTGCAAGAGAAGGATGTAGTCTTTTAACTGAGATCAACTCCCAAATATATTGAAAGTTCTGCTACTATGCTGGAAAGGAAAATAGACGTTGAGTTGACAGCTTATAAAAACTGACCCTCCTACACCTGTCACCTAACACTTTTCATCCTCTCATCTTCCCAATAAAGTTAAATCAACCTTTGTAATTAAGTTATACTCAGTATTTACATTATTCTTCACTAGTAAGCCGTAATATTATGCTGATTACATTTATTTTTCTGTACAACTTATTATGCTTGAAACTGACGATCTCCTTTCCTTCTTTTTTAGTTTTCTATATACCTGTAAATGATTCTTCTTCAAGTGTTAATACTGGGAGCAGATGGGTTGCATTGTTTCTACAATTTAGGTTTGTACAAACCTAAAATTACTACACAATGAAAAGTTAAAAATATGACTCATATACATACAATCAACAATTTGTATATATCAAATGTATTTATACTATAAATTATGGTATAAAACAATGGTGCATTTTAGATTTTGTATGTTATACAATGTTGTTTTAATAGCAAAAAAGAAAACATTGTCTGCCCTTTATGGTTAGTATATTCCCATACATAATCAATATTAGGGGAAAAGAAAAATGAATTATGATCTTATGAAATGTTATGCCCAAACTTTTTTAAGGAATGAAGAAGATTTCTGTATCTTTTTTTTTTTTTTTTTTTGGCTTTTTCATTTTTATTGGTACCAGGGATCGAACTCATGACTGCCTGCTTGCAAGGCAGGCGCTTATGCCGCTGAGCTAAATCCCCAGCCCCAGATTTCTGTATCTTGACATGGAAAGAATGCTAAGTGGACAAGGTGAAACTTACAGATCTATAAATATGATATTAAATCATATTTTCATGATAGTTCTCTCTATAAATGTATATATTTAAAAGTTTTTAAAAACTAATGGGAACCTTCACTAATGTTAAAACAAAGTTACCCCAGAGGGGAGAACCAAAATTTGGAGAGCTGTCTAGGGAACTTCCGTTTTTTCTATTATGCAATACACTGCTGAATGGTAATTTTTTAAAAACATGCACGTATTAAACACTCATTAATAAAAGCTTACTCCAACTATTAACTCAGAAAAGAATTTTCAAACTGTTTTTATGAAACATTTCCTTTTTCAAAATAAAAACATGCATATTAGAACACTTTCCAAAGACAGTCCTCTGCAGACATTAGCCCAAATGACTATTACATGTAAATAACATCTCAAACCCTTTGACTGCTCCTGAAGTAGTTTATTGTGCTTTGCTATGGTAGTACACTTTCGTCTCTCAAATCAAATTAGATGGTTAAAAATTACATATATAAAAAACTATGAATGTTCATTTTTACTGTACACATTACACAAACTTTATGAAATAAACAATTCACAAAATCCTACAATAAGTATGTACTTTGCAAGCACACCATTTTCCCTGGCAATCACAATGCTGCACAGACTCTGAGCACTGTTGATATAAGGACACGATGTTGTCTAGTCAGAGAGTGTTCCTGAAAACAGTGGAGACTAACAGCATGTTCTAGTGGAAAGAGCCCTGTACTAGGAGTTAGATGACCTGTATTATAAGCCTCTTGCCAATGCAACCATGAGAACAAGCACATTTATTACCCTTATCTGTTTCCCAGTTCTTCTTAGTCAACTTGATTAAAATGGATCTTCTGAAAACCACTGAGTTGTAAAACAAATGAAGAAAAGGCATTATAGCCCTTTAATTATTTTCATTTGGACTTTCTATCAATATTACTCATAATGAAAATATTCTGAAAGAAAATGCCTTAAAACTCTCTTTTAACTTATCTCCACTCTAGAATCAAACATGTTATAAAACACAAGAAAGCTGATGACACCTTAGGGTATTTCACCACCTGTAATCTAAAGATTAGTTTATATCTACTCTTTCCCTCCAACTTTCAGCAATCAAAGATGACAGATGGAAGTTCAGAGTCTGAAAAATGAAATGGGGATTTTCAGGCTTACATTCTACCAAGGTTTCACAGGCAAAGGCACCAAATACCAAGGGGGAAATTAGGACCACAACAAAGAAATCAATCAAAATGAGAGAGTATTTCAGTTCTTGAGAAATAAATTTCAGAAACTGACAAACATGAGAAGTGGCCTCTGTAATTTCTCCTTGGGAATTAAGCAGTACCTAAATACAATCAGAAAATTAAATTCTCTTTCAAGAAAGTAGAAATGGGGTATGGGAAGTCCAACTTGTATACACAGATAAATCACTTAGGATTATAAGCACTTATTTTGCAGGGTTCATTTGGTGAAACTCTAGAGGTATAAACCAAACACTTTACCCATCATCAGGAGCTATAGGAACTTCAAAAATACCAACAGGAAAATGCACCAGATCAGAATTGTCAATATACAAGTAGGTAGAAGAGCCATAATGTAGTATTTAGAACAAAATTATTTCTAAATACAATTTCATGTTGAATGATATTCTACTGTTTTTATTTAGAAAATTAGTCTGCCTCACTTGTAGCTTCCCACAAAATTCCTTACTAAAATAGAACTTTTTTTGGAGTATTTTAATTTTATGCCAGAAACATTCTTCTATACACTATTAATGTATTAAAAATACCCTAAAGTTTAAAGAGGAAAGTACCTTGAATTGGTCTGAATCAACACTGTCTTTAAAGTAAACCTGATTTAGTTGGATATAGTGGTGTACACGGGTAATCCCAGCACTTAGGAGGCTGAGGTAAGGATTGCCTTGCCTCAAGCTCAAGGCCAGCCTGGGCTTTGTAGGCAGTTCAAGGCCCACCTGTACTACAGTAAGACTCTGTCTCAAAAAAACAAAAATTAATTAGCTGGAAATAAAATTAACTTGATTTAGTCTCATTTGAGCTTTAGTCAGTCTTTGATTATCTGGTAGTATATAATTTTTCCACCGATTAATTCTAAAGGATGGAAAAGTATAAAAGTCATTGGATATTTTTGACATTCTCTTTGCACATCCTTGTTATTAGTGTGTTTTGGTTATATAGATTACTGGGTTTTCATTTTAGCAGATGCACATATTTGAGGTGTTCAATCGTATATCTGACCATCTCCATCCTCCCTATTTCTCATCCTTATATCATCATCCCTTATTCTCTTCATCCTTTCTAATAATAATCTCCCTTACACCTTATTGTCATATTTTTGTGTTCCCAGGGGAGAAGATGTGATATTTGGCTTTCTAAATCTGGCTTCTTTTGCTTCATATATCTCCAGATTTTCCTACAAGTGGCAAAACTTCATTTTTCTTTAATGGCTGAATAATATATATATTTTTCTTTATCCTTCATCTGTTGATGAACACCTACACTGGTTCCATAACTTGGCTATTGTGAATTGTGTTGCAATAAGAGTGGGTATACAGGTACCTTGGTATGCTGGCTTTAATTTCTTCAAGTATATACCAAGGAGTGGTATAGAGGAGCTCTAGTTTTTTGCAGAACCACTATACTGATTTCCATAGTGGAGGTACTAATTTCCATTCCTACTGATAATGCAAAAGGATTTCTTTTCCCTACCCCACACTTCACATAATTTATTGTTTTTATATATTCTTGGTGATAACCATTCTGAGTGGCATGAGATAGAATCTCAATGTAGTTTGATTTGAATTTCCTTAATGATTAAAGATACTGAACTTTTTATTTACTTATTGGTCATCTGCATTGATTCTTTTGAGAAGTATCAGTTCAATTCATTTGCAAATTAGTTGACCGGGTTATTTGATTTTTTTTTTTTTGGTGTTTCAAAAATTTATATACTCTACACATTAACCCTCCACTGGAAGAGTAGCTGGATCTGATTTTTTCCCACTCTGTAAGCAGTCTCTTACCTTGCGGTTGTGTCCCTTGATGTGTAGAAACTTTTTAAGTTGATGTAGTCCCATTTACTGATTTTTCTATTATTTCTTATGTTATTGGAGTCCTACTCAGGAAGTCTTTGCCTGTGTCTATGGCTTCAAGTGTTTCCCCTAAGTTTTCTTTTAGTAGTTTCAAAGTTCCTCATTTTATACCAAGGCCTTTAATCCATTTTGAACTGACATTTATATGAGGTAACAGACAAGGATTTAGTTTCAATCTTC